TTGCATAAAAGTGGCTGGTCCTGGTTTAAGTAAGATGGTCGTACTGTCAGAGGATCTCAATGAATACATTCTGTCTGGGGTCCTGTGCTATAATAGCCCTAGTAATTTCCAGTGTTGGTTAAAGTCCCCTATTCGTCGTTGGAAATTATCATAACTATTATGGCAGAAGATTCATGACAGGGCGCATTCATTGAGGTCACTCTGGCAACATTAAATGCGATAAAACCATGTTTAAATATACTTGGCTTAATAATGTTTATTGTTCTCGCCCAGACAATTTGAACGTAATCACAATTAAGAGTCATTGCATACCTTTTAATAATTTTGATAATATAGAATTAAATGATTCAACTATCGCTTGTCTAGCTATGATGTCCAATTCGAGTAATTCATCAGTATCTGAAACTTGTTCGTCTTCCAAAAATTCCTGTTCCCCAGTAGTGTGAGAACTGGTTTTGAGGTTCTTTTGGGATGTTTGAGGCGAAGGAATATAACCGAATGAGTATAATCGGGAAGAGTTGTACTCGATTAGTTGATTAACTACATCAGCCAGAGAATCCACTTCTTCTGCGAGTACAGAATATAAATGTTCCTCAGTGCATAGCAAACTGTGTAGAAAATGAAGCCAAGTGTTCTCCTGACGCAGTGCATCGAGATTCTGGTGAGAAAAAAAGCTACGTGACATGAATGTGATAAAAATCACTTGCTTAAAAATTAGAGTAGAATTGAAGAAGTAAGTATACTAAAAGTAAATATGAGTTGAAACCAAGAGAGAACAGAAAAGTTATCAAGAAAATCGTCAGATTAGGGACATGATGCTGAGTTAACTTAAATATAAATAGAATTAAATTTTATTCCCAAACATGTTATCATTATAAGTGTATGACACTATCATCTAGCATTAGCGAAGAATGCATTCAATAGATGAAAAATCGAATGTGCTTAAAAAGAGTATATTGATTTGAGCTTGTCCTGAAAAAAATGATTCAATGTTTAAAGTTTTTAAGTTCGAAATATATTTATAAAACCATAAATATAGGAATTAGTTAAATCAAAAAGGCTTATGGATAGAATTAAATTAGGATCATACATCTTTATAATAGTATAGTGCATAACTGACCTTGTCAAGTTGATTCGTATATTGTGCTCTTTTCTCTTTTCTTCGCTGAGCTCTGGCATAATGGAGATCAAGAGTTTCCAGGGCAGA